TTACTGTAAATCGAACTTCAGATTTTTCTCTCAGTGCATAAGCGCGCACCGGCTGCTGTCAATTAAATTTCATATGTGAATGGTAAAAGAATCAAAATGAAATCCCGACATTCAGCGAGAACCCGGAGAAGGTAAAATCCTGGGAGTCTCACGTAAACCTGACCTTCCGGGCAACGCGCCGCGCTCTGGAAAGTTGGATTGCTCCGGATTTCGTATTTATATCGTTTTGTTTGTTGCTTATTTTCTTTTCTTTACTATGGAAAACGGTGAGAGTACTACTGCTACACCTAGCTGCTCCAGCCGTCTCCTTCTCCGAGGTCACTAGAGTCGTAAACAATGGGGTGAAATTTGTAGTCACGCTTGAATGGAGATTGCATCCCGCGGCATCTCAGTGAGTCTGACCAAAGCCGCCCAATCCCCTTACGATCGCCGAGCGGCAATTTTTGCGGTCTGTTGCGAAGGGGTTTTTTCACTGGTGTGGTGTTGGCGTTGGAGCCGAAGGCGAGGACTAGACTGGCCAACCACGGCAGTGAAAAACTTCACTGCAACAGCCCCGGGTCATGATTTTTTGTAGTGATTTTCAAGGTTCCAAGTTTGGGAAATATCCCAGCCGAAGAATCGTGAGAAGCAGCACAGAAATAGTATTTTATGATCCAAGTGAAAAAAATCGCACTTTGTTGCACGCTTCGCGCGCAAAGAATCGTCTTTTTCTCACCAGTGTCATAAGATATCGTATGATACATATGAAAAAATATAATTCCACACTCGTCAACAGCTACTTTTTGCTTCCGAATGGAATTCAAATCTTTTATGGCACGCCGTGCAATTAGTCGAGTTTATCGCACGCTGCGCGAAGCGAAGCGCTTCAAACTCGACTTGTGCACGATGTGGCATAAAATAGTATAGACCACTCGGGCATAAACTTCGTTTTCAACGAATGTGAATGCAGACCTCGCCTTCGGCTCGGCCTGTAAACTTCACATTCGTCGAAAACGACATTTGTGCCCTTGTACTCTATAGTATATTTCGTAATGAGTGCAAAATAGTTATTTTCATCACAAGGTCCACAAAGTATTTTCTGACGAATGCGATTATAGGCCTCGTCTTCGGCTCGGCCTACAAAGCCACATTCGTCAGAAAATACTTTTGGACCGTGTGATGAATGCAATTTTTCGTCAGAATCGCGGTTTACCGGGTCTTCTCACGAAAAAGTGTTTTTTGGCGAGTGGGAGGTTTATATCACGAGCCGAAGGCGAGTGATATAATCCCACGAGCTAAAAAACATTTTTTCACGAGTTACGAACAATATTTGTCATCACAATGTGGCGGAAATTGGACTTTTAGGGACGCGGAGCGTGCCGAAAAGTTCACTTTTCGTCACAGCGTGATGAAAATGTATTATTACATGGAATATCTTCAAAACTACGCAACCGATTTCACTTTTTCTTTTTTCAAAACATTCGTTTCGATGCCTTCTGTCAAAATCAATCAAAACATGTATACCGTACATACAAAGTTTTCGAGATATTCCCGTTTTTCCGTTTTTTCATGGAAAACGTTTGTAAACACTCTAGCTTATGTAAAAATGGAGATATCAACTTGAAATTTGGACAGAAAATATATTATGTAATATGAGATAATATTATGAAAATATATATACCCAACCATACGAAGGATTCAAAACATTGGAATTTTTATAGCACCCATGGAGGTGGTAGTAACCATCTGAAATTTTTGCTGCTAGTTAGTGTTATGAAGCAATAATCATTTGTAATATTTCAGATCATTCGGAAGCCCGCCATCAATGTATTGGTGGCGAAGAAAAAATAAGATCGCTCAGTGACATGCTCACTGTTGCGCGCTGTCATATGCTCGCTGCCCTCTGCTTGTTTCACTTGTATCGTAATATACTATTTTTGGGCTGTTCCGATGGGGTTTTTTACTCGTGTGGAGTTGACCTCCATGAGTAAAATAACTATTTTCGTCACAAGGCCGAAAAAAGCTTTTCTGACGAGCTTGAGGGCTGCAGACCGAGGCGAAGCTGAGGAATGCAATCACACGAGTTAGAAAAGCTGTTTTTGGCCGAGTGACAAACATAATTTTTCTTGACAATGTCCGTAAATGACGTTTGACCGTAAACGACGTTTGACGGACTCGAAATGTCCGTAGAAAGACGCTTTACGGACAGTGTGATGAAAAAATCCCATCGCAACCGCACTGAGAAAAATTTTTTTTTTTCCAAATATCCATTTACTTTTTTTTTTTTCAATTCAATTCAATTCTTTATTTCCTTGATGTTACAAACGTTTTTCTTTGTTTTACATCAAATATCCATTTACTTGAGAGAATTATTCATTTTTTCAATACAAAATAATTGATTTTTTAGTTTAATTATTCCGTGAAAATTCAGAAAATTCAGGGAAAAATTGAAAGTTTATCAATATGTATGTTCTATTGAAAATTCAGTCAAGTGGTGAAATTTCCATCTCACCCCCACTGAAAACTCATGAATTTCCTGGAATTTTACCTAGAACTTGGAATTTCTTAACCATTTTTCCTCTAAATCGGATTCAATGTCAGTCTCATGAGAATTACTACCATATTTTCCATGAAATTTCGAGAAATTCAGAAGTTCTCGCGCAGGCGCTCGGGATTTTTTAACCTGCAAAACTTGGTACTCTCATTTGTTTGCAACGAAGCTATCGGGAAATGCCCGATTATTTCGAAGCTCACGTGGTATTATAACTGATCATTTCCTCAATTCTCATTTTCACCGAAAAGAGTGCGGTTTTCGGGGTTACGTCACCCTGTTCGTGTAAAATATCTGTTAAAAGAATGGAAAACATTTGATAGACTGCTATGTAATTATTAATTTGATAATTCTCCCACAGCCCCGTGAAGTATCAAAATAAAACTGATGTGAGGGTCTCTGTGACTCCAAATGCTGCACTCTGCTTGATCGAAATCAGAATCGAGGAAATTTCCAACATCCTGATTCCCCCCACTGAACCGCCTTCAACCCCAAGTCTCTCTCCACGAAATTCCCAAACTCAAATATTTTGAATAGTGATGCCGCGAGACACTTTACGAGACAAAACTTTGGAGAAATGATCTCGCCCTCACATAAAAATCTTTGCTCTCATCTCAGTCTCGAAATACGCAGTATCGACTCCTCTTCTGATGACTCCGAGTCAATTTATCTCATCTCGGTCTCAACTTTTTCGTGTTCTTTTATATAAAATCTCGGTTTTTGCCTCGATATGTCTCGTCTCCGTTTTCCGAGACGAGACCGAGACAGTTCCTCCAAAGTATTGTCTCGCGATGTCTCGTAAAATGCCTCGCGGCATCACTAATTAGCATGCCAATCATCACCGTAAAAAAATAAATTCAACAAAACTCCAAACAAGATCACCTCGTTATCGAATTATCCACAAGCCCCGCACAATCTCCCCGCCCCGTAACATCGGGCCTGAAAGATGCACTTTAGTGCATCGCGATTAATGACGAGTATCTCGTATAAGGTTCTGCCCATGAAATAAAGAGAGAAGAAATTATAAACCGGGATGGTTGGCGTGTGCGTGCTCCACATACGTGACACGGTTCTCGTGTTGTGTTCTCTCCTCACACCATGGGGCTGTTTAACGCGAAATAGTCACGTATGAATTATAGATTCTCTCAAACGCATCGTGTATTTTTTATTTTCATTATAGAAGTACATCACAAGGATGTGCCTCGCGGTTGACTCGTTTCCGATGCTGTAGTGGGAGGGGATGAATTGACGGTGGAAAATATTTTCCGCCAGAGCAGTGGAAAAGCATGACAACCAGTTTAAAAAAGAGGAAACACCTCGAGCTCCCTTCCCACCTTAATGCCTCCCTCCCCTTTCGATTTGTGTACATGCTGCAAAACACAAGCTCTCTCGCTCCAACCTCTTTTCGAGGCACATCCCAACGGTGGAGAATCGCCTCACGATGGCTTATTCCAATCCCAGTCTGTCTCACTCACTTTGTCCGCGTTCGGGTGTTTCCTTCCACACACTGTGCAACGTACCATGGGACGAAAGCAACAAACAGGGAGGTGGCTACACCGACTTGTAATCTACTAAGCGAGGATCTACGTATATAAAGTGGCCGGGGCGAGACGCAGGTTCAGAAGCCTTGCACCGCTCGTACCAACAACCCACGGGAATAAGGGCTCGTGGTTACTTTTTTTTTTCGGTGTGTACATTCGGGGAAATTCAGCGGCGGGCACGTGAGGGGGATTACGGATTCGTGATATTTATAGGTGAGGTCATTATCGTTTTTTCGGGGGAGTGACTGATTGAATTGTAAAATTCTATTTTCAATTATCGTTGGAATCCAATACTTTCGATCTTTTGTTGAATTTTACGATGAATTTGGATATTTTTCCGTATGTAGGTTTAAATGATAATGAATAGTGTTAAATGTGAAGGTTCAGGTTACTGAAATCACAGGTTTTGATTCATTCGTGAATGCTAATGCTAATGGGCTAGTTAGAATAATTTTTATAAACGCAAGAAATTATTTCGACCGGTATATTGATATTCTGTATTTCCTCGGGTTATTTTACTCGGTCAAACCTTAGATGTTTTAAGGTATAATAGGAAGTCTCTATACGAGGAAAACAATCAAATAATTGTAATAATTATGATAATTTAGACCTTAAAACATCTAAGGTTTGACCGAGTAAAACAGCCGGGGATAATACAGAATAGAATGAATTTTTATGGATCAAAATCATGAAGGTAGCTCTGGTGGTATTGGTCATGAGCGCAGTGAGCGCATCCCTCGCCAGTCCCGTCGAGAAAGTCAAGAAATTTTTTTGTTAAATTTTATAATAAATTTGGATATTTTTTCGTACGTAGATTGAAATGATGATGAATGTAAAATGTGAATTGTAGTTTAAATTCCGTAGTTCAATTCATCCGTGAATACTAATGATTATGGGCTAATTAATATGATTTTTTATAGATTAAAACCATGAAGGCAGCTCTGGTGGTGTTGGTCATGAGCGCGGTGAGCGCCTCCCTCGCCAGTCCCCTCGAGAAAATCGAGAAGATTGGGGTTGTCGAGCAGCAAACTGTGACCCTAACAGATCGAGCTAAACACGAGGAGGAACTTATGCGAAAACTCAACAACAAGTGCTCGCAGAATGACATAAGCAGCTGCGTCATGCTGAAACTGGTCACTTACATGAACAAACTCATGAAGAAGGTGTCCATCGAGTTGACGGACGACATTGAGATCAAGAAGACGAGTCATGCGACTGAGGAAGTCATTACTTACGAATCCGGCAGGAGCAACGACGAGGACTCTGAGTTCCTGGACTTGGTGTCCAGCAAGGTCTTCGCTTTTCTCAAGTCCAGGAGCATCAAGTGGAGAGTCCTCCCTGAGGATGATGTCGTTGTGTCGGCATCGGAGGACGAGACTGGCTCACTGAACCTCGGTCTGTCCATCGAGAGATCCGACAATCCAATTTCAGAAGGTAAAAACATTTTCTGTATTCAAAATTGTGAGTGAAAAAATTCGAACGATCCTGCCTGTTTGAATTATTTTCTAAATCCCATTTTTTTTTTTTGAACGTTCATTCATTTTGTGATTGTTGATGTTCACAAAGAATTTGTAGAATTCTTTAATTGCTAGTGAAAATAATTCTTAAAAAATTAATTCGTAGAATTTTATCCCAATAATTCGGACTTTGAACATTAACAATCATGAAGTACCATTTTCTATATTTTTATCACCGTTCATTCATTTTATGATTGCTGATGTTCAAGAAGAATTTCTCAAAGTTTAAATTATTGGGATAATTTAAACTTTGAGAAATTCTTCTTGAACATCAATAATCATAAAATGAATGAAAAAAATTCTCGATTCTGACAAATGCTTTTTGAACTTCACCTACCCTGAAATTGCTGAAGACCTTCGCTTATGGCATTTTTGAACATTAACAACCATGAGTTACCATTTTTAATATTTTTATCACCGTTCATTCATTTCATGATTGTTAATGTTCAAGAATAATTTCTCAAAGTCTAAATTATTGGGATAGTTTAGACTGAGAAATTCTGTTTAAACTTCAAATACCCCAAAATTGCTGAACACCTTCGCTCAGACCCTTTTTGAACATAAAAAATCCTGAAGAACCTCCTAAATCGGTAAAAGTCACGGATGAAGACCCCTCCATTGAATCGAATCCCGCCATCTGCAAGCCCACCGAAGCAAAACAGCCTCCTCAAATCCCCAAATGTTCAATGACCATCCCATCAAGAGTCCAATGAATCAGACCATAAACTCCGGATTAATTGACCCAAATTAATGGGCTTCCCCCCACCCCCCGCAGGACGAGGAAAGAAGAACAACATGGGGCCACTCCTTGCGGCGGCAGTCCTCAAGATCGGTCTGATAGGTGCCCTAGCCTTCAAGGGTCTGGCACTCCTCGTGGGCAAGGCCCTCCTCCTCTCGAAGATAGCCCTCCTCCTGGCCAGTATAATTGGCCTGAAGAAGCTCTTCTCACACCAAAAGCACGTTACCTACGAGGTAGTGGCCCACCCGCACCACTCCTCCAGTCACTCATACAGCTCTGATCACGGTCACGGTGGTGACAGTTACTCGAGCGGTTGGGCGAGGAACTTCCACAGCCAGGCAGTACCGGCTGAGCAGCAGCGCACAGCCCAAGAGCTCGCCTACTCGGCTCACATTCCGTCGGCCTGAGCCATTCCCCCGATCCCCGCGCACCGCCAACCGAGAATCCTCGACCTTCCCCCGATCCTCGACCGATATTAATTAAAAAAGCGTCGGAGGATCGTCCCCGAAGCTCAAGTGATATCTCGCATTCATGGGCACACGATCAAACCACTCATCCTCACTAGCGCAGGGAAATTAACGTCAGATTTTTTGCTGCACTGTCGGAGAACAACAGTGCAGCCAAAAATCTTACGCCAAGTGCCCTGCCCTAATCATCATCATTATCATTTCGTCATGTTTCTTATTGTTGTATCCAGAGCCCTGGTATTCTCGAGCACAAATGACCACAAACATGGACACTAAACGGACACATGACCGTTAACAGTGACGTTGAAATAAACGGGTACAATTACATTATCTTTCCGTAGATTTTAATGCACTTGACCTGATGGAGGACTGACTGGATAACGGACAGCACTAAAAGCGGTATTAGGATTATGGATGCGTACACAAGGAGGTGCGCGCCCGGATCCAATGAACACTTGGCCATTGCCTACTTTCTCATGTTTATTTCACTTCGTTTTTATTCGATTTCTTATTTGCCTTCATTTTCCTCGCGTTTCTACTCTTCCCTTCTTTCTCTGTTCTTCTTCTCACCCGACTCTTCTCCCTTCTTTCATGGACGTGAACCGATTTTCACTGAACTGTCACTCATTGAGACGATCAATCGTAGACTGATATACCGTGTTAGCTGAATGTTCATACTCATAACGATCATCAACGGAGATTACGACGAGACAGAGTTGTTATTTATTTTAATATCCATTATCGTTAACATCATCATCATGCTTGGACAGGGAATGACAGAACGAGTTACCAGGGACATTAATTATTTATCATTAGGTCATTTAGTTAGGTCTCGTCGCGCAACTCCCGTCGCCCCTCTCATTGTTGGTTATTATTTAACGATTATCATTAATTTATTGATGTTTGTTCATCACCGTTTCAAGTCCCTAATTAATATTGTTTGTTTAGGAGGAAGGAATCTGTATAATAACTGTTATCACGTACTTCTGTGTGAAATAAATGTATTTATTACCGTTTTTTTAATGATGAGTTTTTATTTATTCACCTGACCCTTTCATCATCAGATTATTCTCCGAAATATTGGGGCTTCGAGTTTATTAGTAATTTGTGGTTTCTACTCAGTATTTCAATGCATGGACTGATGTTCTTATTCATAAACTGGGGATTTTGTTCGTTAAAGTTAATTAATTAATTACTGAACTCCTGGATTGGCGGCTGGCTTGACCCACATATTACGCAAGAGAGATTTTGAAATTAAATGAACCGAGTTGAGTCACTCAATTTGGTAGATCAGTTAATAAAAGTTTGAAATTGGAATAGCCATTGTGCGTCATGACTCATCAACTGTTCATTACCGTTACGCCGCGCCTGAATTCTGGCAATGGGAGATAAACTTTTGACCTCCTCTTCTGGACAGTTGAATTCAAAGGAGTCATACGGATTATTTATCACAATATTTATTAATAGTTGGACGACAGTTGTGCGTGTGATATTTCATTCAAATGAATCGGGAAGATCCGGCCTCAATGTCTGACGCGCCGCAGCTTTCACCGAGAGACCGAGGGAGGGAGCCGCTGGAGCCGAAGAGTCATCGATTGTTCATGACAATTAATTATTTTCATCCTCTTGTCTCGTTCCGGGATACACGAATATCGACTTTCGGTTTCTCACGGGTATATTTTCATCCCCAAACTCTCACCGGTTTGATTTATAGCGCGTTAATGCAATAATTTTTGGTGTAATTCGAACGCGCATTATAATTTATGAGGATTAATTTTAGTTGCGTTGATTTTATGTCAATTGATCTGACAAATGATTGGGATGATACTGAGGAGAATCATTTACGAATGAGTAGACGCCCTGGCAAATCATTTTCGGCGACTCCGTGGGCGATCCTACACTACTGCCCCCGGAAATAAACCGCCAGCATCCTGAGCCGACTCTAGTTATACCCGTCCCCTCGGTCTCTCCGGCGTCGCGATCCACAGGGAGGGTTAAAATGCAGCAGCATTCAGGCGGGAAGTGGAACAGAAGAGAAAGGCCTTTACGGAGATGTACTAGATTCAGTAAGGCGATCTTTCCTTCTCGTCCCGTCTCTGTCTCTCTCCATTTCATCGACAATTTTCCCGGGAATTAATAATCCAGCCTCCGACTGTAATCTTCAAATCAAGTGCCATGTATCACCGATTCAATTTGTTACGTTGTCTATTCATAGATTATCGTACAGGGAACAAGTTTCGAATGAAATTCGCGTTAAGTAATGGGGGAAATGTACTGAAATAAATGAAATTTGGTGATAGAAGGGAATGTCAAATTATTCGTTGATAATTTTCAATTCACTCAGAATTTTGTAAATTCTATATTGCGGTGATACACTGTTGAAAAAATGGAAACTTCTAGAATAGAACTTCTTAAATGAACTGAAACCTCTGAAAAATGGGAATTAATAATGCAGCCTCCACCTGTAATCGTCAAATCATCAAATCAAATACACTGTTAGAAAATTTCCACTGAAATTTCAGGTGAGAGTCATGGAAATTTCTAACAAGTAACATTTCCTCCGGAATTTCGAGGAATTTTGTCATTGAAACTTGATAATATCGTGAAAAAATCCATGGGAACTGTAAATTTCAGTTTAATTGTTCGGAGAAAATTAATGAAAAATCAGGAGAATTCCGAGAAATCTCTCCTGCAATTTCAAATTCCTCTGAATTTTCAGGGAATTCCTTCCAAAATTCCTGGGATTCCAAATTTTTTTAAGGAATTCAAGAGGATTTGACAGCGAATATTCATTTTCAGTTGAAAATTCTTGTAAATTGTGAAATTTCCGTCTTTCTCCCGCTAAAAACGTGGAATTTTCAGAGAAACTTGAGATTCCGTAGACTTTTTCCCCTGAAATCGAATTCACGATCTTCTTCCGAACGCTTCAGCCAAATTTTTTTAACAGTGTACCACCTATCTCCGATTCAATTTCTTACATTATCTATTCATAGATCATCATAAAGAGAAAAAATGTTGAAATTGTCACAAAGTAATGAGGAAAACAATAGCGAAATAAATCGAATTGTGTGACAGAATGTGTGTGTGAGGGAATGTCAAATGGTCCGTTGGTAATTTTGAATTAACTGTGACTTTCATAAATCCTCCGCTCTCGGAATATTGCCATGACATACAGTTCGAAAAAAATTGGAACCTTAATGGACAGTCGACTAGTAATTTTGACGGGAGTGATATTGAATACGATTTAAGGGGAAAAAAATTATTAAATTTAAGATTTTACTGAAAGTTCAATAAAATTCGGAATTTTTGGACAGCATGGATATAAGAATTCCTCAACCTGTTTAAATTTTCAATGACGAAATGTCTTGCAATTTCAACGGCACTATATAATGTGATAAAAATTTTAATAACGTGTACCGGACATTGAAGCCAAAAATTTTCAACATTGTACCCATTGTACCTTAATTGTGTAACGATGATAAAAGAAGAAAATTCTTGCATTAAAATCTTGCCAGAATTTTGAATACCAAAAGTTTTTCCAACCAGGGCGATTTTTTATTCATTTGAAATTGTAATTACACGGAGATGTAAGGTAATTTACACGGAGAGAAATTTTCTAGAAAAATTCTAGTACGAGTACTGGAAAAAATTACAATCCACCGGCTATGAAAAATTCTAGTGCTGTTAAGGTACAATTTCTGGGGATTTCTGTGAAATTTTCACAGAAATACGGGGAAAAATTCACGTTTCCCTCATTAAAATTTCTACACGGAGAGAAATATTCAAGAAAAATTACGGAACATTTCACGTAATCCGCAAGCGAGAATCGTTTTCAGTGAATTTCTATAGGAATATAAGAGAATAAATCTGAAACGTTCAGTAAATTTTCGGGTCTGTCACCGAAAAAATACGAAAAAGTCACGTAATTTTTCTGGAAGTTGTAAAATCTAACAGAAACTTCAAGACTTATTATGCCTCAGAACATGAAAATTCTTGGATGTTTAAGAATTTTTACGAAAAGTTCCGGAAAAATTACGGAACGTGTGGTTAAAATCTCCCCCTCACGGTCACTCATGGCTAGCCGTGAGGCGTCGGACGGATGAGTAATTTTTACGGAACTTTTTATTGAATTTTTATTGAATTTCACTTCGCTCCCGGATTACGTTTCGAAACGTAATTTTTACGTCTTTTTTCTGGTAATTTTTATTGAATATTTCTCTCCGTGTAGTGCCGGCACTGGAATTTTTTCCTGGCCGTCACTTTGCGCCTCTTTTCCCGTGCTAGCACTAGAATTTTTCTAAAAAATTTCTCTCCGTGTACAATTTCCCAAAAAATACTGAAAAGAAAACGTACAAATTCTTCAGAAATAGGGTAGGCGGTGTAAACCGGACATCTTCAATAGTCAATATCTCCTCATAAAGTGCAATTTGGATGACTCAGACTTCATCTTAAAGTTTGAAAATAAAGAAAAAAGTTGCAAGGTTCACCTCTATTTTTCTTAAGCTATGGATGATAAAAGACATTCCATATTACCCCTCTTCTTCTCACACCCAGAGAAATATTGAATTTGCATCAAATCAAACTCTTTATTCAAAATTTTTTCATTCGCTTCCATAATATTTTTCTTGGAAATCAATAAACTCATCTATTTATCTCAATGAAAATGTTTCAATTATGTGAGATAACCAATTCATTCATTAAAAATGACGAATTATCGTTGATGCAATAAAATGATCCAATAAAACGCTAATGGAAATCGATTCCAAGTTTGAATAAAAGTTTGATTAGGAGCTGTTTGAATGAACCCACTCATCTGCATCAAGTGAAGTTTATTCGATTCCGCTAAATCACTCCTCTTGATGTACTACTATTTCCGTAGACATTACATTAAAATAAAATAAAGGAGTAAGTAGCCCGAGGGGCTACTCACTCCTCAATTAAGTGATACCATGATTTCGAAATGAAGTCGACTTCACGTGATTTCAGGGCTGACTTCAGTGATTTCGAGAAAAAATAAAATCGATGACTTCAAGTAAACAGCGATATGATTTCCTAATTGCAATTAACTTTGAATGATTTCATAGATATAATGAAAATCACGATGAATATAGTCCGCCCCATTCTCTTACATAACAGTCATTAATTTTAAATGACTGTGGCATATATGATTTCAAGAATTCAGTGTATTTTCGGAAATGATTTCAGAGATTTGGTTACGTGATTTCGATGATTTCACATGATTTCAGATTGATTTCATCTAGTGATGCCGTCGAGACTAGACGAGAATTATTTTGGAAAGATCATCACGATCTAAAAAAAACATCGAAAGTTTAGGAATCGTCGTAATCTCGAAAGACATGTGATCGGTGCATCTCGCCACGAACGTGGAAGAGTCCCTCACGTCTGAGTTTCAGTATTGTCTGTTTTTCAAATGTCTGTCTCGATATCTGTCTCGTCTCGTCTCGTGAACTTAAAAAACCGAAAATCTCAAGATCCAGACAAGATAAATCCTCCCAGAATCGTGACGAGATGCACCGATCCAATGTCTTTCAAGATTGCGACGATTCCAAAACTTTCGATGTTTTTCCAGACCGTGATGACCTCTTCAAAATAAGTCTCGACTAGTCTCGACGGCATCACAAATTTCATCACAGAGTGGCGCCGCAATTTCGTGAATAAGTAGCCCCTCGCGAAAATCCGCATTATAAAGTCGTTTACAAATAAAAAAATTTCTGAAAACTCATTTCGCTCGATGTTCACCACCCATTTCATGCTAATTTTAACCACCTTCATCTCTCCATGCGCAAAATATGGGAAATAGAAAACGTCCACATCGGGAAAACATGTTTTACTCCCTCGACACACCCAATTCATCCCATTCGTGCAGCAACTGAGCCTTAATAATACCATCCATTATTTCTCCATAAAAGTTGTACTCAATAATCGAATGACTCCGTAACCAGTACTGATCCATAGTCAAAGTGTAACGCTCTAGAACACTCCAATGGGGGATAAAAATGGAAAAATAAATATAATCTTGAGTAGAGTGGAACGGTTTTGCCATTCCACTCATTTGTACGACGAAAAACAGGGGATTGCCTTTGTTGCAGCTGTGAGGTAGAGAGATTCATGTCGCTTTTTGTTCCCGGTAATATCGATTTCTTGGTGTTTTGAGGATACAAAGTCTCCTGCAAACTGTATAAATTGCAAGGAGCGGGTGAGGATGACGGTTAGTCATACTGCGATCGTCGATCATCGGTGGATACTCCTGATAACCAAGAAGAATGCAGTCTATCTGGTGGTGTTGTTGTGTCTTGATTTTTGTGGGTATGGGACAGGGTTATCGTCAGGATGACAAGGAATACGCGAGGGATCCGTGGAGGGGAATACCGATGATATGCTCGGTTGAGGACCCTAAGAATATATCGATATCTTGTCATGGTGTGAGGATTGTTAAACGCGTTATACAACAGCTGTTGGAGAGTGCTGTTCACGCGCCGCGCATTCAAATCACCGAGGGCATCAGCATTGTCGAGGCTGATGACGGGGTGAGGAGGGGCAGGACCATGAAGAACTCGATCTTGGGGCTGCTGCAGGGACGGGAGCTGAGGGTGAAGCTGCCTAGCTTGCTACCCGCGAATTTTGAGGAGGTTGTCACGGGCAGCCTGCCTAGTGCGAGGAGCGGCGGGGGTGGCGGCCTTGGGGGGCTTGGAGGCGGTGGCAAGAAGGGCGGGAATAACTTCATGATTCTCGCTTTGATGATGGGTGAGTCACTTGAGTTTTTTGGATTTTTTGGGGGTTGTTTGGGAGTGAAGCGAAAGGAGGACAACTTTCGTCGAAATTGTACACATTGGGACGATAAAGCCCGCGAGATTTTTTATGAAATTGGTATACAGTAGCATTCCATTATCAATTGTTTTTTTTTGCATGGGATTTTTGATGAAGTGACTGTTCAATACTATTCCATTTTCAATTTTTTATCTGTTTTTTTTTGAGAATGGAATACGATTGTAGACTCATTTCACCCAAAATCACATGATCTATATCCTATTAATTACTATCGAAAATTTTTGGCAGTAATGTTTGGTACAGTTCTTGGAAATTTTTATCGTGTTATTATAGTTCCAGTTAAATTTGGAAAGATTTCATCATTGAAATTTCACAATTCGATGGGAAAATCGGTAGAATCTGTAAACGTCAGTTCGATTATTCCATGATAATTTATATAGGTGTTAGGGAAATTCATCTAAATATATTCTTGAATTGTCAACTAATTGAAAATTCAGCGTAATTTGGTACTGACTATGTTTTGATGGGAAATTCAAGTGAGTCGAGAAATTCTCATGTTTCCAGTGAAATTTGAAATTTCATAATTTTTTCTCTTTGGATTCCATCTAATGCCCCTCTCCTAAAAATTATTGTTGAACCGTCCATGACATTTTTTGAAATTTCAGTAACAGCTGCATTTGAAATTTCAATGCCGGGAGTTTGAGCTCAATTTAAAATCAAATGGCTCGTGGATTCTCTTATTCATCTTCTAAATCAACAAAATAGATTTTTTATGCGCGGGAAAAATAAACTGCAACAACAAACATAAAATGCGGCTACAATCAACGGTGTACGATCAGAGTTCACTGAAAATTTTAAACCAACAGTTGATAAATTTTACTGTCAATTAGCAAAAAATTACGTTACAAATGAAAAAGTTACTCTTGATTTCAAATTTAAAGTCCTGAGACAATTTTGCGTTACGATTCTCTATATCGCACAGTAATTATTCATACGATTTTCTCTCCGTGCAATCATTAGTCATTAATGATTTAAATACCACTTGAATTTTGAAGTGATAGATAATTAAGAACAATAGTTGCACGAATTTTCACAACTTTCAATTGAATTATGAGATAATTGTGCTTCATATGACCTTGAATGAACACCTTTAATTATTTTTCAATTTTTTCGCATTTGAGGTTTTTTTACGTAAACTGATTTGGAATAATTCTAAATGTTAATAATTGACAATGTCATATATGATATGTACGATCATCCCGTAATTCAATATCATTGTAATATTTGGAGATGGACTTGGACCACTTGTGAATGAGTCGCCTGGAGAAATACACTCCTAAAAAAATAAGTTCTTCTTCCAAGAAAATAATTCCTCGGCAAAAGTAATTTTTTTTCTCAGCGTCACTGTGAAAAAATTCAATAGAACCCCGTAACGAATTCGTTGGAAAATTCTACTGGAATTCTTGTATGAGGGCGATCTGGGGGTTTTTTCATACGTGCCCTCCTCGTAAAGAATGTTGATAGCCAATGCTCTCTTATTCTGCCGAGTGTAATTCAAGTCTTTTTAAAGATTGAAAAGACGTATAATATATGAAATGAAAAAAATTTGTGCTCGGGATTTGACTGGGTTGAGTTTTTTTAACGTCGTGGGGTGGGTACGTCTTTTCAATCTTTATGAAATTTTTATCATCACAATTTTTGAATATCATTTTCATGACTTTCACTGTTTCTTCAGTTTTACACTGATAGAACGATTCATTTATTTCAAACGAGATTCGTTAACTATTAATGAATGAACATTTGGTGAGACCAAATAGACCCTAGCCTTCAACCAGATGCATTTGTTAACAATAACTAATCCTGTCTATGAGTGTACACTGATAGAACGGATTAGTTATTGTTAACGAATGGATTTTGGTCGGAGGTTAGGGCCTATTCGGTCCCACCAAATGTTCATTCGTTAATAGTTAACGAATGTATATTTGAGGAGCCTTGTTTGACTTGACTTTCGCCATTCAAGTGAACCATTCGTTAACTATTAACGAATATTCATTTGGCCATATTCAACTCTACCATTCGTTAATAGTTAACGAATCTCGTTTGGAATAAATGAATCATTCTATCAGTGCATATGAGTTGCGTCATAATTTTTAGGCTTTATTAATCTGTACTTGGCGCTACAGCTTTTGCTCGATTTCATATCTTTTTGTAAACAGACCAACGGTCGCACCCGTTCTTGGCGAGAGTTTTTTTCCAAAAGATTTCGTATACGTCTTTTCGATCTTTGAAAAGGAGAGAATTCGAATAAAATTTGCTAGCGAATTTGCTAAATTATTCTACAGAATTTTTTCGTACGTGACATTTTGTCAATACCAAAATATACGGAAAATTCCGTATGAATTAAGAATGTTTATGCAAAATCACAAGTACTTTGAAAAAATTGATTTTTTTTCAACTGAGAGATGAAGATATTCCCTTCACTTTGATACAAATTTCAATCCACCAACCCATGTTCATTATTTAGAACTGAAATAAACAAAATGTACCAAATGCATGCGCTAACATGCGTTTATATGGAATAGAATCACTCAAATATTTCCTCTTTTTGCCCGGGTACCCCAGATTTTTCTCTGGCCATTGGATTCAATATGATTTCAGACATTACCTTCTATTGCTATTTCAATTTTTGGAGTCTTCTAGTAGATTAATTATCAATTTGAACACAAATTTCACAAAAGCCCGTGTATAAGGAAAAATTAGTTTATTTACTTCTGCCGAGACTATTGCGATCAATTTTTTTAACGTTAGAAAAGTTAGTTGTATATGTTCTGCTATCAGCTGCAAAAATTACAGAATTTTCCTTGACCGTGGAAAAAAACACATTTACCGACACAGGCAAAATATCCTTAAGGATGTACGACATCTTTTTAGCCAAATTCACTTTTTTTCATTTTCCTGGCAAATTATTGATCGGATTGACGCGAAATAATATAGCGTTTTTGCGTTTTATCATTATTGACTGACTCACAAAGTTTCATGGTAGTGCAATCACTTTCCTGCATTTTTTCTAAAGTTTTGTGAATTTCCGAAAAGTTCTAGAAAAAACTCAGGAAAACGATCGCACGATCATGAAATTTGGTGAGTCATTAAGTAATGATAAAACGCAAAAACGGTAAATTTTTTCACATCAGTCAGATCAACAATTTGCCAGAAAAATTTAAAAAACGTGAATTTTGGCGGAAAGGGTGTAATACATCCTTAATAATTTGTGAAAATTTCTTGCCTTTTCAGGAAAAATGTTGGGTGCCATGGGTTTTGGTGCCCTCGGCCTGCTAGCCGGAAAAGCGTTAATGGTGTCCTCCCTAGCGCTGATGCTATCACTGATCGTGGCAGCCAAGAAATTCGCGAGTTCCGGAAGCTCCGACGGTGGCCATCACGTTGTATATGCTCAAGAAGTAAGCAGTGGTCACGGACATCACACGAAGAGGAGTACAGATGATCCAGAGCTCTCGCCCTACAGCGGCTATTATCCAACTGCAACAGCTAAATCAATTTAATGATAGATAGAATTCAGTAGCGCAGTGGTAAAACGGTACAAGTCAATTTCCATTATTGACCAGTTTTCAACAAATATCTCGGAATCTAAGGGAGATAGCAAAATTTTTGTTATAACCTTTTTTGTAGAGACGATTGAGTGCTACAACAAATGTAATTACAAAAATTTCACTATCTCCCTTAGTTTCGGAAATATTCCTCAAAAACTCAACTGGGAGATAAGTCGACTTGAACCGTTTTACCTCTTCGCTACTGAATTCCATTAGTTACTGAGGAAACACTGCGAACACGTGTGATCCTCGTCACCCACCATTGACACGCAACCATTGTCTCTCAGTATTCAAATAGTTAATTCAACTCATATTTATTCTCTAATTATTTATTTATTCTCTAATTCGTTTAATCTCGATGCGAAATAAACAGTCTTCAGCAAATGTGATGAACCAATGGCTGAGTTAATTGACGTTTTCTTTTTTAAAAAACAATTGAGATCAACGAAATCGGAGTCATGTCCGGTGTAGCATCGCATAACATCGATGCTAACACGAGCCTCTTGGGTTTGTATCGGCGGTACGTAGAAGGGAGAGGAAGAGGTGAGATGCAGGATGAAGACGGTAGGGGAGATGTCGACCAATGAGGAAAGTGGGTCACCGACCTGTTGCCTCGCATCTGCTCCACACACTCTCCACGTATATACTGAAACCAGGAGTAAGTGGTACACACGATAAATTTACAGGAAATCAATTCAACGACCTTGACACGCAATTTATCTTTTTTTCGATGCATGGTTTTCAGTTATTTACCTTAATCTGGAATATGGAAATGAAAAATATTTCCCTCTTATACAACTGATAATCACTTGTGATGAAATTATCATTATTGTTTTGATGGGTTGAGAACATTATTTATGTGAAGAAAAATCATTTTGATGGGTTAACAAATTAGAATTCATTGATTGAGATTGTTATCAGAGGATTGAGGGATTGGTTTGTTACAGAGAGGGATGAGCTTTTCCAATTTACGCACTTCATATTTTTTTTCATGGTTTTCAGTTCTCAATTTTCATCGGGAATATGACAATGACAAAATATTTTTCTTATACAACTGATCACTCACTCAATCACTTGTGATGAATTTATAATTCTTATTTTGGTGGAGTGAGAATATTATTTATATGAAGAACAATCATTTTTAAGGATTAAAAAATTGAAATTGATGGATTCAGATTCTTATCAGATGATTGAGCGATTGGTTTGATAATAGTATATTTCGTTATAAGTGCGGAAAAGAGTTTTTTGACTCGCCTTCGGCTCGTGTTATAATACCACGAGCCAAAAAACACTTTTGCCACGAGTATCGAACGATATTTTCCATCACAATGTGTGGAAAAGGGACGCTTTAGGCACGCAGCGTGATGAAAAGAAAGGAATGGGATTTTCCAATTTACGAACTTCATTTTTTTTGCATGGTTTTCAGTTCTCAATTTTAATCGGGAATGTGACAATGAAAAATATTTCTCTTATACAATTGATAGTCACCTGTAGTGAATTTATCATTCTCTTTTTGATGGAGTGAGAACATTATTTATATGAAGAAAAATCATTTTGATGGATTAAAAAATTGGAATTCCTTGAGTCAGATTGTTATCAGATGATAGAGCGATTGTTTCGACAATTAGAGGAATAAGCTTTTCCAATTTATGCAATTCATATTTTTTTCATGCATATTTTTCAGTTATTCATTTCAATCAGGAATATGAAAATAAAAAATCCTGCCCTCTTATACAACTAATAATGACTGGTGCATTCATCATTTTTATTTGGTGAAATGAGAATACCATTTATATGAAGAAAAGCCATTTTTAAGGATTAAAAAATTGAAATTGATGGATTCAGATTGTTATGAGATGATTGAGCGATTGATTTGATAAAGAAAGGAATGACCTTTTCCAATTTACGCACTTCATCTTTTTTTTGCATGTTTTTGCAGTTATGAGTTTTGATTGTGAATATGAGAATGATAAATATTTCTGTTATACAATTAATAATTAATTGTGATGCATTTATCATTCTCATTTTTATGCAGTGGGAACATTTTTTATATGAAGAAAAGTAATTTTGAACGATTAAAAAATTGGAATTGATTGATTCAGATTGTTATCAGATCCCTGAGAGATTGTTTTGATGAAGAAAGAAATGAGTTTTCCCAGTCAATTCTACAAATAATAATATTATTTCGAGCTCGAGTATCTTATCGACGAAGTTTCTCTGGTAAACTGCATCCGGAATCGATCGAGTCAGTCATGTGGAGAGTGGTAACCACGAAAAAACAGCTGGGGCCCCCTTTTCTCCCATCGAGGAACCAACACTGTCTTGAGACCTTTCCTTTTACCTCCTTCTTCACACCAAGCGAGTTGCTACAGGAACCCTGACAGACCGAGACCCACTGACACAAATTCCATTCGCTTCCTTTTTTACGTTTCGAATATCATAAAACGAGGAGACGCCGAGTGAGCGACGCACAGACGAGAATGGCGCTCCAATGCAACCACAGCATTGGAAATTTCAACTGTGGTTTCAGCATTGTCGCATTTAATGGCACCTTGGTAATGAATGAATTACGGGGAATTGATCTACGCATTTTCATTCATGCTGAATTCATTCATAATTCTTGAAATGCTCTTGAACTGCACACGGCAAAAGTGGGTAATGCACACTGAGAGAAAAAACAGATTTGTAAAATCAAGTCCATTCTTGTCATAATCTGTTCATCCATTGAATGCTGAAAAGGCTTAAGGTGGGAACAAGGTGAATCTTGAAAGTCTGTCTGATATGTTACACGGAAAAAAAATATACTTGAATTGAATAGATTTTATACCAGAATCAGGTATATGTAGAAACCTAATTAAAGAATAAAATATACTTGATTCAAGTATGATATTATTTTTGTTTCGAGTATATTTTATACTAAGGGGATGGGTGTTTCAATTCGAGGATGATTATTTCGTATCAGCCCGGGTTGTACCAAGCGCTCTCAAGTGTAATATAAGGGTCAAAAAGTGGAGGTTAAAGGATGAGGGTCGGAATATTAGAGTCAAAAGCTGGGGGCCTGAATGTTAGGGTTAAAAAAAGAGGGTCAGAATATTGGGATGAAAAAATTAGGGGGAGAATATAAAAGTAAAAAAAGTGGCTGTCAGGCAATGAGGGTCATATAAGGGCGAAAAACGGTGATCAAGCATAATATGGGACTTATATTTAGACCCTCATTGCCTGCCACCCACTTTTTTTACTTTTATATCCTGACCCTAATGTTTTGACTCTAATATTCTGACCCTCATTTTTTAATCTCCACTTTTTGACCCTTATATTGTGACTCTTAGTGCCTGCCCCTTATATTACACTTAAGAGGGCTTGCTACAACCTGACCTGATACAAAAGAATCATCTTAGAATTGAAATACGCTTCCCCCAATTGAGTATATTCATTTCCGTGGAATGGTGTATTTTCGGACTGTTGATATGGGATTTTTTACTCGTGTGGAGTTGGCGCTTGGACTAAAGGCGAGGACTAGCCAACCGCAGGAGTATAAATACCCCACGCGGACAGTTCCGATGTAATTCAGTAGCGAAGTGGTAAAACGGTTTAAGTTAATTTTGATCATTGACCTGGTTTCAATGAATATCTCGGAATCTAAGGGAGATAGCAAAAGTTTTGTTATAATCTTTTTTGTAGGGCCGATTGAGAGCTACAACAAATGTAATTACGAAAATTTCGCTATCTCCCTTCGATTCGGAAATATTCTTCAAAAACTCAACTGGGAGATAAGTCGATTTAAACCGGTTTACCACTTCGCTACTGAATTTTTCTGTAGTGATGTTCACTTTTCGGATTTGGGAAGTATGAAATACGAATTCCCATGTGAGGAAAAGTGAAGGGCAGTACAAGAAAAATTTTTTGTCCGAGCAACGAAAATTTTTTTTGTCATGGCGCTACTGTGTGGCTGGAATGGCAAAAAATGTTTGCTATTGCAAATTTGAGATTATTTGGGAGAATCTGATCTTGTCGTGTTGGAAAAAATTACAAATCTTTGCATTATATTTTTTACTATCACTAATTTTTCATTCTTGCATCACAATGGGCTGCGAAGGGAAGATTGCATGTTTCACCTAAGTAATTTTCAATACTCGGTGAACTTGAAAATTTAGTGAATGGTATATGGTTGAAATTAACATAAGATACAATGATATTTGTCATTCTTCGTCTGGATTTCATGCCATTAAAAAATGTCATGAATGTGAATTTATCATTCGAGCCCAGCCTTCGAAACGAATTATAAACTCACATTCGTCAGGAAATACTTTATGGACCGTGTGAAATGAACTATTCCATGTTATGGACCCAAATACCGCGATCTAGTTGAGCGAAGCGAGGGAGATCATAAATAAACTTTATGTGAATATCATAAATGGATTTATTCGAATAGTTATAAAGCTTTTATTCAAACTTGACGTCGATTTTAATTTGCTTTTTTATTCATACTAACCAGCTAGCTTTCCAAATCCAAGCAGATGCTTCCTTCATCCAAAAACTAGGTGCATTAGGAATTGAGTACTGATCAGAGATCAACCGTTAGATGTAAATATCACCAATCGGAAATTTGGCTGGAATTAAAACCATCTTTGGAGATTTGATGAGATTAAATGTAAGTTGTGCAATTGAAAGTGCAGGTGAATCCCTAGGAATTTATTGAAACGTTGTATCATTTCTTGTAATATGCTGTTAAAATTTTTTGAAGCTCAGTTATTCATGTTGAGTGCTCATTGATATTTGACTGACAGCATAAATGTTAAAACTCACTATGAAACATTGACATTAAATTCAATGAAATTTTCAACAGATTGAGAATTCAGAAAAGTAGTTACATTCGACAAATTTTTATATTATATCATATTTTATTTCCATAATTTTTTGGAATTTTTCATGTTGTGTGGATCCAAAAGTCAGAATTTCATGGAATATTAAAGACATTAATTAATTCGTCAAGAATAATACCTATTAAAATTTCATTGCATTTACTCTTTCTTAAAAACTCCAAGTTTATCATTTGAAATGTGATTTCTAACGGCGTGATGTACCGGCAATAGTTCCAGCAAAAATCCACAAAAATATTGCAATTTTATTGCAGCTCTTCTGAAAGATTCATAAAAATAAATACGTGGCAAAATTAATAAATTTTAAAAGTAATGTTTAAAGAAAAATTTACTGCATTATAATGACTTGTAAATTAGTGGGGTAAAACAACTATGTATCGTATGTCTTTCTCTCATTACAAAACCTTCAATCTCAAGTTCTCAGACAGGTAAAATAGTACTTGACACTAAAATGAGAATTCAGTAGCGAAGTGTTAAACCGGTTTCAGTTGACTTATCTCCCACTTGAGTTTTTGAGGAATATTTCCGAATCGAAGGGAGATAGCGAAATTTTCGTAATTACATTTGTTGTAGCTCTCAATCGGCTCTACAAAAAACATTATAACAAAACTTTTGCCATCTCCCTTAGATTCCGAGATATTCATTGAAAACATGTCACTGGTCAAATTTAACTTAAACCGTTTCACCACTTCGCTACTGAATTATTTTCTCTCTGTGAATGTGACTATAGTCACCTCTTAGCTAAAAATTGCAGAATTCGCAAGAAAGCGAATGAACAAGTGGAGGGACATTCCGTACGTCTTTAACTGCGATGGAATTCCGTTACATTCCACATCTATTACGTTCCACTCACCTGCGAAAATTGGTATTTCGGACCCGCGCGGCTTCAAATCCATCAGTCCTTGATGGACATCTGGACTAGAGTGGAGGGCATTCAAAGGGCCGCACTCTCATTCTTGTCGTGTTCTCCTACACAATTGGCTGTGAAATATTCCACACGTGACTTCTTCTAGTGGTAATGTGACAATGTCACACTCGTGTTTGCTTTTCGGGAATACTGATGGCTTTTTCTTGTTGTACAGATTTTTTAAGGAAAAGGGAGGGACGTGAGGTGAATCGGTAGTACAGCCCCTTTGAGCTTTCGCGTTCATTACCACAAAATTTTTAGCGGAAAAATTTTAACAATGTAGCACCAAATTTCATTGGCGGAAATCACTGATAATTATGATTATTCTATTCAGTGTCCAGTATCACCAATAATGTGTGATAGATTTCTAAAAATGAGTGATATGTTCCTGAAAAACAAAATTTTTTCCTCTATGTTCAAAATGGACAATCAGAATATGACTCAAAAAAGTTTGAACAATTAAATAATCGCGAAATATCCGGACATTGACTACAAACCTTGAAACCAATTATACACAAAAAAGTCTCAGAATGTCAAAATTTCAAAAACTTTAATAATTTACACATTGAAACCTCGAGATATTGAACCGATCGGTCGTTCATCAACTAAATTATCATGATTATCTCCCTGTTTCCTGAATTAATTTTACTTTTACCAGTCGATTTCATTCAAATGACTGATAATCGCGCCCTTTCTCAAGCCACTGAGAAAACGAAACGAAAAGCGAGATGATGATAGGGGCGGCCTTTGGCGCACGGAGAAAGAGGGAAGACGCGGGAGAGTCACCGGGGCAGAAGGAGGCGGGGAGACAGTGGCATGGGTCAGAGTAGAAAGTGGTGGAGTAAGTGGAACAACGAAGGTCGGATCCGGGATCTCCTCGGAGCCGATCAAATACAATTTACCACTTGGTTAATTTCATTCATGCGAAGATATCTGTCTTTCGCGCATCCGGTTACCTACTGAGTTGCAGGGGGACTGATTATTCCAGTCAATTTTTCCGGTTCTAGCGATGCACCGGGGAGGAAAGTGGATAGCAACATTATGGGTTAGCCAGGAAGTGGGGAAAGTGGTCGATGATTGTCAAGAGGTACACCGTTCGGCAATTAGCACAATTGTTTGTTCTTCATTTCCACAATAATCGGGGTTTTTATTTCTGTTCGAGTCAAATATTTTTTACTGTTGAAAATTTTTCATTGAAGTTTATGGTATACTGTAAAAACTTATCGTCTGAATTTTTCGCGCAAAATTCTGGATATTTTTATAGTGTTCAAGTTCCACTGAAATTTCAGGAAATCTTGACATTGAAAAATCAAATATTGCATTGATTTTCTGTTCAAATGATCTGGAAATTAATAAAATATGTGATTGTTCAGTTCAATTATTCTCTGAAAGTTCAGAAAAATAAGGAAAATTCAGGGAAAAATTGAAAATTCATGTCATTTTGTTTCTGAATATTCATTTTCCACTGAAAATCCAAAAAAGTTGTGATATTTCCATCTCACTCCCACTGAAAACTCGTGAATTCCCGTGAATTCTACTTAAAACTTGAAATTTTTCCCTAAATCCGATTCAATGTCATTCTCATGAGATTTACTATAATATCTTCCATGAAATTTCAAAAAATTTCTAACACTATACGATTCTTGGAAATTTTTATCATATTGTAATTTCATTGAAATTTCAAGTAATTTCGTGGGGAAATAAATGGAAACTGTGAATTTGAAGGGGGAAAATTCCGGTAAATATATTCTTAAATTTTCAATTAATTGAAAATTTTGTCTATTTTAGTTTTGAATATTTATATTTTGATTAAAATTTCAAGTGAGTTGGAGAATTCTCGTATTCCTGCTGCTCAAAAATTTGATATTTCATTGAATTTTCGGAGAAACATGAATATTCATTATTTTTTCCCCTTAAATCAATTTTAATGGCTCTTTTCTGACACTGAATTGCAAACAAACGAACTCGTCAAGTTTGCAACGAACCTATCGGGAAATCCCTGATAATTTTGACGCTCTTGTGGTATTACATACGAGAATTTGTCTATTCAAATTTCGGCCGAGAGAATTGCACTATGAGACAAAATCCATCTTTCAGTTCCAACGGGGGCTCACTCGCCCCGACAATCATTCGTTTTCCATATATATATATAATATATATCAACATGAAGAAATACATGTGAAATTATCAAAAATTATCAGTTAAATATCGTGCTGACGATATAAAATAACAGTCGAATAGTGCAATTCTATTGACTAAAATTTGGATCTGAAAAATTCTCACTGATATTGCAATGACATCTAGAGTTTTTGAATGCATTGCAAAATTTCATCATCACATCCGACTGACTTTTCAGTGCATTAAAAATTCAGTGAAATTGTTGCTTGAGTTTTCAAATTATTTGATAATTTTCATTATCATGTCACCTGAAAATTGCAATTCCATTGAATACTCCAGAATTCAACGGATTTTTCAATAACAAAATACATGAAAATTTCGTGTGAATGAGTGATTGTTAAAAATTTCAAGACGGTTGACTTGAAATTTCAGGGATAATTTTCTAACAATGTATTTAGTTTTTCCAAAAACACCGTTGTTCGCTCAGAAAATTGAACTATCCACGAAATTTCATTGTTTTTAAACAGTGTCTTCCCAATTTCGATGGTTATTTCCCCCTGCTAATTGTCGATTCCGTGAATGACCTCCCAGTGGAAAGTGAATGACGATTAAACGACTAACCATCAAAAACAATCTTAATTTCAACCAGAGGGATAGTAGAAGGGGCATTACCCACAGTACCCGACACACTCGTGCCCAGAATAGTTATCCCATTTCATGACTTTCACTCTTCATGACGCACGTTATCGTTTTTTTTCCACTCAATGTCCGCGACACTGACAATGACCCTGCCAACACCCGAAAAAGGAACACAAGCGTCGCCATATCTTTCTCATCGTCCGACGCACTTCCCTCGATTTAATTAGTTGACCAGCGAGAGAGTGAGGCAAAAGGGGTCAAAACAAATCTCTCCCCTCCCTCATGAATTTTGTTCTCATTCTTCTCCCGAGTACCCCGGAGGGTCCCCAAAAGTGAGACATATTTGGAGGACACATAAACCCGAGATAATCATCAATTCTGAGAAATGAATATTAGAATATATAAAACCCACGGGATTAACTGTACCTCAAATTCTGTGTCACGAGGGAAATAGACATTTTTTCTATTTCGGTTTCGATACGCCACACATTCACGAAAAAAAAATGTCTCGCCGTCGCTGTCCGTTAGATTTGGCAATTAAATTCCAAAAATAATCTAAAAACCGAAGGATAATGAAATGTAAAAAAACATTTAGAAAAATAAAAAGAGGCGGTGAGAGAGGAGGTGCGGCTATTTGTCATGTTCCCCGTGCTGGGTCGTGGCCAGGGTCGACATAGAGGAGGGAATCCCACCTCACGGTCTCGCCCCATTGGTGAATAAACTTTCGGGCTCGTGCTCATGCGTTCGCACCGCGGGACAATGTATACGGCCACACGACAAATAACTCATACCCACACACACGCACCGTACGCAAATAGAAAGAGAGGAAAAAAAAACACACATGGGGATTCTCGGACCTCGGGTGGGGACCCAAGTGGCCGGGCAAAAGTGGTGGGAGAAACGCCAAATATAAAGGTATATAAGGTAAAGAGCTTGTCGGATGGACCACACGAAATTTTCACCACGTGTGAGCAAGTGTTACGAGACCTAGCGCGAGAACAATCCCGAGAGAACACGAATTTCCATTTTTTTCGCGTGTTTTCCTGCGAAAAAGATTAAGTTAACAGAGGACAAAAGTTTCGGAGGAAAGGCAAAAGGTGAAAATGAAGTCGTTTTTGACAATCGTGTGCCTGTCGATGGCAGTGGTCGCTATCAGCGCTCAGGATATCGCCGAGTGCCTGAGACAGGACAGTATCTCCTGCATTCAGAAGAGTCTCTACAGGAAGGCCAAAGAGTTCTTCGGCAAGGACAACCTCGAAATCGTGAACGGTGTTTCCCTGGTCAAGAGTGCTGACAGAAGCTCCAGAACTGGCAATGAAGTGTTTTACGATCAGGAGATTGAGGCCGCTTCCGATGTCACTGAGAGACAGAGCGCACTCGAGAGCTTTGTTGGAGAGGAGGCCAGCGACTTCCTCACTGGACGCAGTCTGAGGGTAAGTTCACTGAAAATGCGTTATTCTTATGTGTTAATGGAAAATGTACTGAATTGAAGGCTAATGTCTGATGTCTATCGCACTTGTAGATCAACTTTGCGCCGGCCATTCAGAAAATTGGTGAATCTGCACGCGCTATGGTTGAATCCGTTCCAGAGGAAGTGCAGCAGGCTGCTGACGAAGTTGTTGAAGGTAAGGATCATTCATACGCACTCAATCATAATTTGAAAGTAATGAAACTTGAGGATAAGTTTTTGATGAATATCTTTGGTGCTAAGGTAAATATTAGCTTTCTGGGAACCTTTTCATAGCTTTTGAATTCCGAGATATTCAGCAGAAGAGAATATGTGATGAGAAAAATGTCTATTTTGTTTTGGTACTTCTTCGCTGCATCTTCCTCAAGCAGCACCTCTTCAGCAAAATTTAATCCTCTTTTCAAAAAAAAATGTAACGTTGTTTGTCATTATTTCCACCCTAAACTTGAATATCTTGTACATAGTAAGAACATATTTAAAAAATATGTACGTATATATTTTTTTAGATATTTTTTTATATAAAAAAGTAATATAGAAGTATGAGAGAATCTTATATATTTATTTTTTGAAAAAAATATCTTCATCTTATTCGTCTTCACTTTCGAAAACTATCATGACCTTAACAATGAAAATAATGATGAAGAAAATCAAACAAGATCGAGGGAATAATTCAATCCTAAATCGTTCAGAAAACAAAACCTTTTGTCTTGTTTTATGATACAATTCTTTGAATCCTTCACATTCTATTAGAACTTTCATTATTTCCAAAAATTTATTTCTCCTTAAAACAATATGAACAATGAATGAATATTAGCCATATGTGATGATAAATTAGCTTAACTCGAGAATTTTGCATGTCATGTGGTGCCTAGCGTGCCTTCTTTCCTTAGTAATCTCTTAATTTTCCTAATGAAATAGAATTCCGGATGAGTCCATAAATTTGATTCTAAAGAAAATGAAATCAAAGGTTGATGCTATCATCTACAACAACATCTCTTGAGCGAAAAATTAATAATCTCTTAATTTTCCGTGTCAAATCCCGAAAACTTTTATCATATTTAATTTGAAAAATGAAATACTTGATTTTTCAGTGCAATTATTCCGTGAAAATTCGGAAAAGTCAGGAAAATTCATGTCATTTTGTCTCCAAATATTCATGTTCCATTGAAAATTCAATAAAATTGTAAAATTTCTGTCTCACTGCCACTAAAAACTCTTAAATTTCCTTGAACTCGACCTAAAACTTGAAATTTCATAACCATTCTTCCCCTAAATCGGGTTCAATGTCACTCTCACGAGAATTACTACCCCATCTTCATGAAATTTTGAAAAGTTTCTACCACTGTAGAATTCGGGATGAGTCCACAAGTTTTATTCTAAAGAAGATGCAATCACAAGTTGATTCCACCTTCCTCAAGCAACACCTCTTCATCAAAGCATTAATAATCTCTATCAATTTTCCTCAGGACGTGGAAAGAAGAAGCTGCTGAAGTCAATCCTCCCATTGTTGATCGCTGCAAAATTGAAGATCGGTGCCCTGGCTACCCTAGCCTACTTCGGAATAGCCCTCCTCGCGAAGAAGGCCCTCATCGCCTCAGTCATCTCCATCCTCATCTCGGCCTTCGTCGGACTCAGGTCCCTCTGGTCCAAGGGTGGGCACGACGTCACTGGGTACAACGCCGGTGGATGGAGCAGTGGTAACACCGGTGGTTGGTCCGCCCCAGCTTCCTCAGGCGGTTGGTCCAGCGGTGGTGGCGGCGGCGGCTGGGAGGACGGACACGGTGGTTACGCATCCGCTCAGAGTCAGGCATACTCCGGATACCACCACTGAGAGCACAGCGCGAAGACCATCAACAACTGCCAAATAATTACACCTACGATAATATTTAACGCTTCATCTGCACTCGTCGAATCCAAGATGAAGCGAAATGTTCGTCTGGGCATGTAGCGAAATTCTCCGCAATTCAAGGGGATATATTTATTTGTTTATTTATCGTTGTTTGTAAGAATGGCCTTGACCAATTATCAACGGCTCAATGTATATATAACACTATATATATGACACTTTTTGTATTTTTCTATATGAACACAAATGTATATTGATAAGCCGCCTCTTCTCCTCTCTGTCACGCACTTTGCGCATTTCACTCTGCCACCCTCTGTTAAATAGCAATTACTGTCTTATCTTCATCATTTTGTAACAACTGCTGACTTATGTGTAACTGTGAGGGACCAGTCGATTTATGTCCCTCCATCGCTCCTCGATGAAACTGAAGAATCGAAATACAAATTTTTTTTAATGAAATTACTGTTTGTGATCTTCTTCTTCTCGTTATTTTCGGCCTCGTGGGAAATTTAATTGGGTGAAATCGGAAGGAGGGGGCAGGGGGGGGGGAGTTATTCAGAGTCAATGCACGAGTGCCTGAAGCCGAAAAAACGACAAGACAATATAACAAAAACCCAATTGTCCCAGTTTCAACTTCCCCAGGGATTGCATTCCCAGCAAATTGACTTGACTTTCTCGCATTTCTTGGAACTTTGCGTGGAGTTTATTTTTTCGTGAGTGGGTATATTTATTCATACAGAATTTCGATCGAGCCCGTTATACCGTGACATCGCGTGTATCGTCGAGAAAACTTGACTTCCAAACTGGCACTTGAGAGGGGCGGTGGGAGGGGGGGGGGACAATTTCGTTTTACTCGAAGTGACATGAGATGATGTGTCAACACACATGACCGTAGGTAGTGATACTGGGAATGCGGGCCAGTAGGACGAATTTGTAGAAGTTTCTAGTAATTATGGGCAGTATTTTTTGGTGGGAAATACCGTTTTAATTAAATCCGGGGATTCAGGGGGATGAATAAATTTGAATATTTTAGGAATGGGATTAAGTTGATTTATAGGAAATTAATTTTGGTGGGAATGAGTTCAAGGAATTGGGGGAGTCGGCCAGTGATGAAACTAATTAATGGTGTTATTACGAAGAATAGTTTTTTTCAAGTGATATGTAATTTTTGTTTCATAATCTTTCTTTCGTTGATTTTTTTCTCCAAAAATCGGAAAATTCCACAGACGTATTGTAATTTTCGTTACAGTTATTATATTTCTTTGCTAACCTATTGAAGTATTGGATATTGCTCAACTTATTGAAAATTGGAGAATATATTTATTTACATTATTCTAATTTTCACTCATTTTCACTGAATAATTGAGTCGAAATTTAGTTCCGATAGATTTTACAATTAAATTGTGATTTTTCGAAGATATGATTTCTTGCAATTGTACTGAGAAAAAAAATTGGTTCTGAAACATTATGTATTCCCCTGAAGAGATCTTTTGTCGTGTTAAATCATTCAACTTCTGGACAAAAAAGTCACTTTCCGCCAAAACATAATTTTCGTAGTAGTAATTGTTCTTGTGCGACATTTATATGTCTTTCGGGTGAATAGATTCGTTCTGCCGAGAATTATATGAATTTGTCGAATAAACATTCATAATTTCCACTTAATAAATGATAATTTGAACAGGAACCTACAATTTTCTTGCCGAAAACTGTGCTATTTGCAAAACTAAATAATTTCGAGTGGACAATTTTTTTTGGGAAAAAAATATTCTTTCTTCATCAATGTATCCTTTCTATGGTATAAGTCTGTGGAGTTCTCTCAGATCAAATGATTGTCATATAATAGATTATATTTTTGCCTGTCAACAGTCCCAATTCTTCTAGGGATATTTCTAATGGTCACGATAAAAAATTAATTTTTGTGAAAGACATTAAATTTACTTCTATCAAGTTGGGTAATTTCCTTCAAGTAAAGTTCCACTTCCACTTCATCAAATATTCTCACATGGAATATCTAGTTTTTCGGCAGAGCCAATTTTTTTCTCTGAGTGTTCAGAAGAAGTTCCATTTATTAAAAGTTTTCGAGATTTCGTTTGAAATTTCAGATGGAAATTTTTAAGTGCAGAGTCATTGCAAACATGTCCCGAAGGCCAAGATAGGCTATACGCTTACGATGTTATAGGTAATTTTCGGAAATAATCGATTCCCATCTCGTCAAACACCATCCACACTGAGAAAAAAAATTCTAATATCTAAAACATAGTTTCTTGAGACAATTAATTTTTCTTCAATTCTTTAATTCTCTCAGGCATCTCAACTCACGTGACCCGAGAAAGGTCTCATGTTTTAAAATATTTTTGTACTTAAGTATGATTTTGTCGCAAATGAACTCACTCAAATCGCGTAGAAGAATCGTCAATCTTCAAGTATTTATTGTTTTCATATTTTTTTTGTTATGCAGTTGGAATATTTCGATATGTAATATATTCATGATATAATGCGCAACGATAGTGATAAAGGAGAATGCATTCGAGTTCCGTGAACCGCAAACATTCTGAGATTTAAACCATTGAAAATAATTTACTTCTCTCAAGTAACTACGGTCTACATATTAGAAAAAAATTTTCTCAGTGCAATTCGCTATTCAATGAAAATTTGAAAAAAAACATTCGTGATGAGATGACAAAAACTTCATCCATTCAATCTGTACAAGAAAAAGATCTTATTCTGATGGCTTTTTAATCTCGCGTGCCCCGAGCAATTTCAAGACCATTGTCACGAACTTGAATTCACCGCCAGCGAGACGACCGAGCGGAGACCTTCAAGGCATTACCGGTCTACGCAATCCACCTGCACGGGATATCGGAGTACCTGTTCACGACACACCATTTGTCTTTGCGGTATTGCGAAGCCGCGGGGGGAAAGTGCACCTTACGAGTCCAGACCCGGACAAACTGCTTCTCCACTGGCTATGGGGGCTTGTCTCGTCCGTCATTCGGAATCGGGTCGAGCACTTGCGGCTGTGTTGATGGTGCTTCGTCTTCTTTCACGTCTTCGTTCACTCGAGCCGTGTTTTATTAACTCCAGGGATGTATCTTTGGCGAATATAATGTCTTCTGCGCTGTTAGAAATTTCTTGAAATTCCAGTCACAGCATTTACTCCAAACGAGATTCGTTAACTATCAACGAATGGCAGAGTCGAATATGACAAAAAAAAATATGCGTTAATAGTTAACGAATGGTTCTCTTGAAAGGTGAAAGTCGAGTCAAACAAGGCTCCTCAAATATGCATTTGTCAACTATTAATGAATGAATTTTTGCTGTTGGAAAATTACTCTTGAAATTTCAAGTGAAAAAGCTTGAAATTTTTAACAACGACGAAGTTGCGTGAACTTTCTGTATATTTCTTCACTAACGAATCAGTAAATTTCTTGAATATTGAAGTACTTCTTAATTTCCAGATGAAAAATGTTGAAAATTGGGAAAATTCAGGCGAAAACTATTCTGAATTCTCAATCTATTAAAAATTTTTATCATGAGAAGGTTTCTTACAATCCTTAACGTAATGCATTCTTTTGAAAGATGTATATATCATATATTTTTCCTCGTATATCTTCTAATAATATTAAAACTTAATTAATTAAAAATGTCATAAATTCAGTCAGGATTTTTCTTTTTTCATTCCAGTCTTGTATCTTTAACCTCATTGAATAATTTATTTTCGCTATTTTCAGAACAGACACACCTTTGCTGTGTTTCATCCGACTATGATCATTTCACGGGTCATTTCATAAGTTCTCTGAAAAATCTGCGAACATAATCCCATAATCCAATATATTAAATTTCCTGACCCAGTCCATGAATATAAAACCGTTATTCGCTGTATTCCAATCGACGGGTTGGTTTTATTTTAATGAATTCACAGGGCAAAAGCTTGGCGGAAAAAATTTGGAAAATCGGTGGCCAACAATTTTGGTAGAAAAAATCTCACGAGAGAAACTCAAACAAAAGATCGAAATCTATTGATTTTTTCTTATCAAATATATAATACAGTAGCGAAGCGATAAACCAGGTTACGTCGCTTTTGACTTTTAACCAACTTTTGATGAATATCTCGGAATCTAAGAGACATAGCAAAATTTTTCTCACGACCTTTCTTATAACCCTTAATTGGTTCTGCAAAAAAAGTCAAGACAAGAATTTCTCTATCTCTTTTAGATTCTGAGATATTCGTCAAAACCGACTTAACCGGGTGTACCGCTTCGCTACTGAATAGAATCTGTGCAAAAAAAAAACAAATAGATTTTTCACGAGAATTCCCTGGCATTCTAATAAAATTCCCATAAAATTTTTAGAGAATTCCAGTAGAATTTTCCAGAGAATTCGTTAAGATCTTCTATTGAATTTTTTCATACACACAAATACAGACAAAACATAGAGACAAAACGGACCCCTAGGGCAAAACGGACCACTGACAGAAAATTAGTAATTTTTGTTTTTTGTTCTTTTCTTCAAATCAGGAACACTGAATGTGTTGAATTAAGAGTGAGTTTCTCGATCGTAATCATCACCGGGGTTTCATAGACAACAAGTGTCGTTGAACCGCAATTTGAGCAGATTTGCTAATCACCTCAAACCACAAATGACTTCGAATTTGCTGCATTCAAAAGCAAAAACAAAAATTATCAATTTTCTGTCAGTGGTCCATTTTGCCCTCCTCTCCCCTATCAGGTAAAACTAAGTACTTCTTTGTCAAAAGTAGTGTTTTCTCTCAGTGCATCAACACAAGAAAAGTTGTACCTCAATCAGAAACAATACTCTTAATTTGAGCAAAAAGTTTACCTCCGTGCACGGTCGAGGCCGTTTTTCCGACGCTTTGAACAAGCTAATGCAACATTGACTATGTACCTAACAATTTCATACTGTTTTGTGACCGGCGCACTGTTCCACGAGAGGGAGTGGCCAAGTTTGTACGAGAGTGAGTTGAG